TTGGTGCAGTTCTACACGGCCATCATCGAGTCCATCCTCACCTCCTCCATCACCGTGTGGTTCGCTGGAGCCACAGTCAGGGACAAACAGAGACTACAGCGCATTGTGCGCTCTGCAGAGGAAGTGATCGGCCGCAGCCTTCCATCGCTGCAGGACCTGTACGTCGCCCGAGCTCGAGGCCGGGCTGGTCGTATCACAGCCGACCCCTCTCACCTGCACATGGACTATTCCAACCACTCCCCTCTCACCTGCACATGGACTATTCCAACCACTCCCCTCTCACCTGCACATGGACTATTCCAACCACTCCCCTCAGGCAGGAGGCTGCGGTCCATCAGGACTAGAACCTCCCGCCACAAGAACAGTTTCTTCCCCTCTGCTGTTGGACTCTTGAACACTTCTTAACCTGTCCCCCCGCCTTTTATAAAGTCACTTTACTGCCCATCATACGTCACTTTACTTCACTGTACTGCTGTCACCTTACATTGTGTGCACCATGTGCACTTGTATATTGTAAATAGTAACTGTAACTCTATTTTAAATTTAAATTTATTCTTAGAAGTGTTTTTTATTCTTATTTTTATTATCTCTTTTTGACTGTTGCACTGAGCCAAAGCAATTTCCAAGTCTGTGACCTCCCGTTACTTACGTTGGCAATAAAAATGATTCTGATTCTGATTCTGATTATTATTGCTTTTTAGTACATCTATTTATGTTTTTAGACACATTCTATTTTTATTTATTTTTATTATTTACTATTTTTAATTATTTATTGTATCTACCAATTTACTATTGTTATTATCAATATTAGGCAGCTGCCATTTTTCTTTTTATTGTCACATTTTATTGTTCTACTTTCTATTGTATTATTGTATTGTTTTAGTGTCCCCAGTGTTTCCTCTGGAGGAGCCCTCTGCACTGAGAGCTGGGGTCTGCTGTGGCTTCGGGGGTCTGGGGCCCCTCTCTCCTCTGGGTCCTATGGGGTCTGAGTCCTGGGCCTGGTGGGGTCTGGGGCCCCTCTCTCCTCTGGGTCCTGTGTCGTTCCCTGTGGCTGCAGCCGGCTCTCTGCTCCTGGTGCAGATGGCTCCTTGGATGGCGCTTCTTCAGCCGGTTACATCTGCTCCCAGCCCCATTTCTTTTTATTGTTTTACCTCTTTTACCTGATATGACTTTATACTTGTATGTGTGTGTGTGTCTGTGTGTGTGTGTCTGTGTGTATGTGTGTGTGTGTATACGCATGTGGTTGTATATATAATTATAAATGTGGTTTTGGGGGGGTCTGTGGGGAGGAGGGTTTAGGGCTGGGCATGTTGGATTGTTTTTAACTAAACTGTAAAGCACATTGTGTTACACTTATTGTATGAAAAGCGCTTTATAAATAAAATTTGATTGATTGATTGATTGAAGATTTAAGACATGAGCAGTGCTCGAGGTTCAATGGTCTGCACGCGGGCCTGTAGACCATTTCTGATCCCAGAGACATTTGAGGCGCCGTCATAACACTGGCCTCTACACTTGTTGAGAGGCAGAGAAAAAGAGCGTCTTGGAGAAGCCGAAAAAGTGCTTCTGCTGTGGTGGAGGCTGTTTCATCAAATCCAACAAATATCTCCTCTGGCTGCAGCTCATCAGTTACAAAACGACAGTAGCTCAGTTGGTTGAGCCCGACCTTCACCATCGACTCCTGCTGTTGTTGTGTCCTTGGCAAGACACTTCACCCCCATTGCCTAGAATGAGTCTGGTGTGTGTGTGTGTGAATGGTTGGTGGTGGTCGGAGGCACATACTGGTTGCCTCGCTTCTGTCAGTGTGCCCCAGGGCAGCTGTGGCTACAGTAGTAGTTCATCACCACCGTGTTTGGAGTGAAAATAAATATATTATTATAATGACACATGTGCAGCGTCTTTGAGTGTCCAGAAAAGCGCTATACAAAACCGATGTATTATTATTAACAGTGATGTCCGCAGTCTCATCCAACATGACAGCAAAAAATTTGGCATTTTTTACTTCCTTAAGAAGTGTTCTCAGCACGTCATGAGACATTTCATTCAGGATTTCATTTGACAGCCATTTGCTTTCTTTTTGAGCCAACCACGACCTCAGTTCTGGAATATCTTGTGCACACAGGTTTAAAAGCTGCATAATATTGGAATCTTCCTCTGTTTTCTCCATTATAGCCATGCCTTGACACAAGATATTGGATAGATGATAAAACAGCAATCAAAGCTCTTCTAGTGGCTCGATGAAGAGTGGATTTTCATGACATTTAAATCGTTCAATAGCCTTGCCTTGTGAAAAACCTCAATGCACAAAACTTTTCATTGACTCTTTATCATGCGCTTGTCGAAGAGGCGCATTAATTTCTTTATAGCCAAGGTACACACTTCACAAAAAAAAAGTAATCTTTTAGAGCATCATATGCTATCCAGGGAAACTTAGCTTTCCATGTTTGTTGGAAGGTTTGGCCTTTCCGTCCTTTTCCTGTGTTTCCTCGTTGGCAGATGCTGTCTCATGAATGGAAAGATTCTCCTCACTGATGGAATCATCTGATGCATGTTTCTGTCTTATTACAAATCGGTCCATTGTTCTCCTGCGTCGTTATGCTAGCTTTCTGTTTTTGGCGGTAAACGTTTGCGTTTGTTTTGGCCAAAGTTACGTAGACACGTCATATGATTTAATGTTGACAAATCAAATCAAGGACAGAGGGGTTTTGCCTGGCAACAAGATTCTCACATGTATAATGAAGGCAAACTATTTTTTAAATATTATTTATGTGCTAGATTCAATTGACCAACTTACTTATATTATTATTGGTCACATTTTTTTATTTTTTAATGACTTCAGGACACATTTTCCTGGATGCTAAAATATTTGACTGGGGGCTCCAGCCCCGCAGCACCCACGGGATCGCCGCCTATGTACTGAGGCCTCTTACCTTATTCTGTATGTACACTAACTGTCCAACAAGACCCTCCTGCATCGGCAAGGAAAAACTCTTAAAAAACCCAGTGGGAAAAAGTGAGAAACCTCGGGGAGAACTAGGGAAACCCAGAGGGAGGGAGACCCATTTGAGAAAGGGATCCGCTCCTCCGGACGGACAGGCTAATGACACGCCCCCAGTGGGGGCGGGTCCCGGCTCAAAAGTGGCCAAAATGACGTGCTCTGACATGCTTACAATACCACCCCGGGCCGATGGGGGTGGACCCGGAAGAATGAATTAGCCAATACTAACATATAGCATTGGCAGACCTCTGGAAAACGTCTTTACAGGATGGACCAAAAGTTGGCTCTTGGCCCAAAGCTTCGTTCCACATGTGTGTCAATGCTGAGGGGGGTGAATTTTTTTGGACCACTCTAGTTTACTTGCTGTGAATTTTGGAAGTCTCTCGTTCAAATGAATGGAGCTGCGCCGGCTGTTGCATGCGCAGATGCGTTTTTCACAATTTTCTTGTGGGCGGGACCACTCGCGCCCGGTTTGGATAGCTCCAGAAGAGCAAATTTTGGCCCATTTGTTTTTGGCCCCTAACCTTATTCTGTATGTAAACTGAGGCCCCTAACCTTATTCTGTATGTATACTGAGGCCTCTAACCTTTTACAGTATACTAGGTTCATTAAGTCAAGATTCAGTTTCTTTTCTTTCCATTTGCATTAAATCAATCAATCAATCAATCAACGTTTATTTATAGAGCGCCTTTCCTACACAAGGCAACGCAAAGCGCCTCACAACCCATATAACATCATGCATAAATCATCAAACATTAGAATTTAAGTAAACATAAAAGGACAGATTAAGAGCACAAGATATATAAAATCACACAAGTAGTTAAAAACCGTAAAACATTAAAATCACACAAGGGATTACAATCATAAATAATCATAAATAATCATAGTGCATTAAAAAGATTAAAGATAAAAACAAATATAAAATCATTCACTTGTATGCACAGCTAAAAAGAACTGTTTTCAGTTCAGTTTTAAAAACTGCTACACTGTAAACCCAAATTTTCTTTTACATAACAAGTCAAGCTATTGCTACTAATCTTTTCATAATTTTGCAAAAGGCGGGACCATTATTAAACAAAATGTGAATTGTAAACTAATTAAAACGAGTATTTGCTCCACTAATGGCTCTGAGCGGAGACACCTCACATTTACATGTTTTACTGGTTTTGGGAGGGGCTTGAGGCAGTGAACCCCGATGAGTTCAAACCCAGCATGGCTCTTCTGTCTGTTGGCCACCGATGCATGTCACAGTTGTCTGGAATTGGGGAAATCAGCGCCAGTCTGGTTGATGTAGCAGTTTATTAAACTATGGTAAGTGCATACATTTCTCTTCGTTGTAGTAGTTCTACTCACTGGGTAAAATAATATTTTCCTCGTGCTCACGTTAGCTATTATATTTCACCGAAAAGTCAACTGCGTCATTTAGCCCTACAATATATTGGGTTGGTCGTATATGGGAGTCTTTTGTGTTTTATTTTGGGACTGTATTAGCAGTTTAACGCGTTTGCGAACGTAGGTTACTGCAGCTAGCCGCTAACGGCTAATGCTAGGCGCTAGCAATGGGAAATGTTAGCTTTCTGTTGCCTTCAAACTAATTTGCCGCATGCGTTAATATTTTTGCAACTTCGACAGTGAACATGCAAACCAAGGGCTGTTTGTTCTGTAGCGTTACACTGATCCTCTATAGCCGCGAATTTTGCTTGGTAAGTTAGCTAGCTGTGTTAGCTCGTTCAAATCTTACTTTTTCTTTTTTTTTCATGTCGTTTTTTTTCCCCTAACCGCCGCATTTGATCTTGTCGCTACTTCAGTAAATGTATATATTTTTTGAGGTGTACTTTATTTTTTTCTACAATTAGGTTGTGGTTATAATTACGGTTGAAACATGTGTCATGATTAATGGACCAGGGCTTTGGCACTGGTCTTGGCACTTGGTCTCTCATGTTAACCTTCTAACCCCCGCCGAGTGCATTTTCTCCAGCTGAGTAAAACAGTGTAATGCCCCATGACCTACAAAAGTAACCTAAGCTTTGCCTTAAGGAGGAATGACGTTGTGGAGACAGCACCACCAATAAGCTCTCTGATTCAACGTTGGCCTGCACTCTTTACTAATGAGCAGGTATGCTTAACTTTTCTTTATGGTTATCTGCTTTTCCAGTTTTACAGCACCCACTAATTTCTCTTTTTTTTTGTTTTTTTTTTTTTTTAGATTTGCCTGGAATTCAAAAGGATTGTGGGAAAAGACCTGCAGCAGGAGTTTTATTCTGCCCTTGATGATCACCGTACCTGTCTTATGGAAATCTTTAAAGCGAAGAGGGGCAACGTGGGCGAACATTTGGCACAGCTTTTGCAGCAAATGCAGGTAATATTTTGTAACCGGGACACAACAAAAAAGCACAAATTGTCTGTGCGTGTGTCTCTGTGAATGACAGACTTTTTCTTTTAATGCATTATCGTTCTTTCAGTCACTGGATCCCACAGAAAAAAGGACTGTCGCGCTAAGAGGGCTTCCACACCTACTCGGAGACAATCCCACTGAGTTCTTCAAATCAAGCTCTGTAAGAATACATTATAATTTGACACTGCATATGAAACCGCACCCATGTACACCTCACTTATAATCTTCTATTATAAACGTTTCTGCATCCACCATGCTTACTCAAACAAGATCTAATACAAACATTTTATTATTAGAATAATAATTATCTTTGATTTTTACCAAAGTGCGGTATCTGCAGGTCAAAGATAGAAGTTTGTTTCCGTAGACAGCTGCAAGACAGCTAGATTTTGTATTTCTCTATTTTTTTTTTTTTTTTTTTTTATCATCAGTGTCATAATGTGGTCTAGATATTATCGTAACATTTTTCTGGCGCAACATATCCTTTTTTTGCATTGTGTGTTATATTTTGGACCCCTCATAATACCGTACTTGTTAGAGGTTAGGAGTTATTTGCACAGGACAGGAGCCCTTTTAGAGCTTTATTGAAATAACATGATCCTATGCGATATTTGTATAACTTTGTAGTCACTCAATTTATCTGAAATTCTAATACCAATAACTATTTCTCTCAAAAACACCATACTGTGCAGCAGGATGGGTGAGCAGTTTGCCCACTTTCCAATGAATAAAATACACAATCTCAAGTACACCTGAACATGCTGTGTTTATGTGCAGTGATGACTGCGACCGTCCCATATTAAATTAATAATAATTCTGTATAAACGTCAGAATACACCATTGACACAATAGACCAAGACGTTCCCTCAAATAGTTATTACACCAAAATTTTATAATTCGTGGCCAAATGGTAGAAAAAATTGCTGCCCCTTAATGGCTGTCTGTTGTAGTTCGGTAACTTTATTCACTAATAGTTATATTTCTGGCAAACATTTTTTGTTTATCTTTAGGATGGTGATGAGTCCTTTGGCCAAATGGATGTTGGAATCTTGCTGGTGAATCCTGAAGGTGTTTCTACCCCAACATCAGATCTTCACCCAGCAAGCCTAAAAATCGTCATTGAGGGTGAAGTTGTTGTCCAAAAGCTGACAACCCTGCCAGAAGCTGTGTGTCTCCTTTTTGGACTTACGTATGGACTCCACCTAAACTACCCGAAGACAATCAGAAATACCCTCCTGTTCATTCAACAGGTATTTTTTTTCTTTGGGAAGCACCGAGTTGAAGCCGAGAATTCAAACACTGAAGAATCAACTACTGGTGTAAAATGTTGCAGGTGCTCTAGTTATGGTTGGACAGAAAAGGTTTTTTTTTTCAAACTTATTTAGCAGTTAGAAGTTCATTGTTTGTACTGCTAAAGTTTGCATTCCACATTTAAATACAAACATAATTCATAAAAATGTGAGCAAGTGTTGTTATATAGGCCTAGAGGCCGGTGAAGTTTACAGGCTGAAAAACTTAAAACTGTTACACAGCAACTTTCCTGTTCATTATTTTTCAAACAATTACTATGTGCCACCATGCTAGTTTTTTGTCTCTAAAAATGAAGGCTTCCAAATATTAAAGGTAGCGACGCTCATTTAGGCAATTTACCCATCAAAGCCATACCACGGTTCCAAGTAAGTCTTAAAGAAACAGGCCACTGTTTTTACATACTGAGATCTGTTCTTACCTGAGCTTAGACGAGGAGATGAACAGTACCTGTCTGGTCTTTGTGCCCATTCTAACTTCACCCCATTTGGAGCTATAGGAATATACCGGGAGAGGAAAAACGTTAACATCTGGTATTTTTGCATGACTCAGGGCATGTACAAAGACCAAACAGGTACGTATCAACTCGTCTAAGCTCAGTTAAGAACATATTTCAGTATGGAAGAACGGTGGCCTGTTCCTTTGATACCAGATTAATGATGTAAATGACAAATGCTACCTCAGTTATTTCATAAGATGTTATGCAAGCATGTTCCCTCTTTGCACAAGGTTTTAAAATTTCCAAGAGAAATGTTTTTCAAGGGTTAAATGCAGAATTGTTTTGACATAGCACTTTTCTCAGATCTAGCTTATATGTCTAAAAGTTTAACATGGTGAAATGTGACAAAAAAAAAAGACAAGCGCTGTTCTGATTGTTTACATGCAGATGACTGCATTTTACTCAGATTCGAATGTTAAAAGGTTATTATTGCACAATTTTTGCAATAAATTTTTGAAAAAACTAATTGTCAATTATTGTGTAATTTAAAAAAATGATACAATATATATTTCATAATTCTAACTATATTGCATGAGAAATAAATACTGATAAACATGATAAATAAACTCTGATGAACATGAGTAATGATTACAGATATATACGAGTAATGGTTTAGGCAATTACTCAAAAGCATTATTTTTAAAACCTCAAGTTCTTTAGTAATGGATTATCGTGGACACAAGACTTTATGTAAACAGAGCTTGATTTGTTTGGTTTTTGATTTTGTAAAAACTAGACATCCCAGTGCAATCACTTACCATGCGCGGCTTTAGTAATGATTACTAATTTGGGTTTTACAGTTGAACCAGGAACAAAATCCTCAGAGAAACATGTGAAATCCCAGTTCTCTGTTTGGAGCGAGCTGCAGTCATTAGAGATTCACCAGAGCGAGACAGAGCTTCGAAAGTATAAACAAACCAACAGCACCCACAGCATTAATGAGGAAACTATGGACTTGACCATAGTACTTTATCATAATATAATACATGTAATGTAATGAATGAGGTCTCTCACATGAGACCAGAGAGAGACCAGAGAGAGACCAGAGAGAGACCAGAGAGAGACCAGAGAGAGACCAGAGAGAGACCAGAGAGAGACCAGAGAGAGACCAGGGAGAGACCAGGGAGAGACCAGGGAGAGACTAGAGAGAGAGACCAGAGAGAGACAAGGAAGATACCAAAGGAAGAGACCAGAGAGAGAAGCCAGGGAGAGAAACCGGAGAGACACCAGCGAGAGACCGGAAAGCAAGACTAGAGAGAGAGACAGACCAAAGAGAAACCAGAGAAAGTGACTAGAAAGAAAGACTATAGAGAGAGACCAGATAGAGAACAGAGAAAGACTAGAGCGAGAGAGACCATAGAGAGAGACAAGCAAGAGAGCAGGAAAAGCTGATGTTGTGGTTATGACAGAGACCAAACTGTTTTAAAAGCGAGGAACTAATTAGATGGTTTTTAGCATGGAACATTGGATTCAAAGTTAGGTGCCTGAGCTTTAAAACCATCACCCTGAGCATGAGTGACAGTTCTCTCGACTCTAACGTCCTATGTGTGTCTCTGTTATTGATCATCTCTGTCGTGCGTCACTCTCTCTCTGCTCCCTGCACTAACAGCACCAGGACAAACAGGACAACAGGGATCTGAGACACCACCAGGAACCAAACCACTTCAGACCAATAGTGCCGGACTCCACCGGGCGCGTCTCCGTTTACGCGAGTAGGCTGCTGCCCGTCAGACGTCCGTAAAACGGAATAGTGGCCAAACCGGCTTCAGCAGCGCGCAGCTCTGGCTGTGTGTTTATCAGCACCCCGTGAGGCTTTGTTTTAAATAGAATGCGATGTTTGACGCAAAACTGATTGGCCCTCATTTATGAAACTTGCGCAGAAAAAGGTGTACATTTTGGGTGTAGATTCCAGATACGCAAGATCCGACGTGCGCCCATAAATATTCAGAGACTGCCTGTTCCACGCCCTGTTTTTGCAACAGGTCAGCATGGAAGTCGGCTAAGAAGACTGTTGGTTTGGAGCCTTTGCCACGCACTTCTGAGTTTATTCAAGTTTAAAAAAACATATATATGTGACGTGAGGGTGTGAAAGAAGGGAGATTTAACAGTTCCAGCAACGCCAGGTGGTCTAGGGACCACCCAAATAATTGGTATAATAAGGCCGCACAAGTTGTGGACATAGGAGACGCGAGACTGTACTTACAAAAGTTTATTTTCACAATTATAAGTTAAATACATCAAATAGGCCTTTAATGGAAAAAATTGTTAAAATGTATTTCTTAAAATGGTGGCAACTCAGGACACAAGGACAAAAAGAAACAAATAGTAATGTAAATGAACCAAGTCATGCAATAAAAGAAAACAAACTGCAAGCCATGCAAATAAAGCCAACAAAAGAAAAAGCCAAGCAAAAAGCATGCGAAGGCAAAATAAATCAACACCAAATCAAGATAAACTCACCAAACCACTCAGAATAACCTAAATAAACAAAAAGAAAGATTATTAACGAAGGTCCGGGTGCCACAGGACATGCCCTTTAAACTAGAGCACTCCAGCGCTCGTGCACGCTGTAGCGGTGTGATCCGAGCCAGGAGGCCACACGTGAGCGCGCTCCAGCGTCTCCAGAGACATGCGAGACAGAGGTGGACAGAACAGCGGCTGCCTTTCAGAGTGGTAGCCCTGGTATAGACCACACGTGGAGAGAGCCTGAAGGACAGCCACAAATCTTAACATTGTAATTAATAACTAGACTGTAGTTTTTTTGAGCTTACCTGCCAGTGAAAGGCACGCACTCACGGCCAGTGGGAGGAGGGAGAGAGCCGGTTTGGATACCAGACTTGTCCCAGCTACAGCTCAGGGTCTGGGGCAAACAGGTTTACGCTCAGCTTTGGCTTTGAGAGCCAAGAATGAAAAGGCGGACAATGAGCGACTTACCTCGCCAAAGCGCTTCTCCCACGCGCTCCAGCGGCCTCCAACCAAGTAAAGCTGACGGTCACCAAACGTGCGACCACCGCACCCAGGCCAAGACTCATGTGCGCGCGCCGAACACGCACCTGCTTTTAATGGGCTCAACAAGTCCAAGCCAATCATCTTTCAGTGCGGTGCACACCGACATGCCACATTCTCTCCCCCCTTATTGTGTCGTCGCCCGACGACCATTCAGCCAAAGGTTCTTGCTAAAGGTCTAACACCATGGCCGAAAGACTGCCCCTTGCACATTCACCAACCCTTGAGAGGCACCACCACGAGTACGGGGAAGGTGATGCCGATTCGAATGTTGCCCCGCGGTTGTCCGTGCAGTGCGGCGCAGGCTTTGGTTACTAGGCCGACTGCAACCCGATACGGGTGCTCCTCCTGGCTGATCTGCAACTGTGGGGCCCTCGGCAGTGGGGACAGGGACCCTGGCCACACCGCCAGCTGGATTTTGAGGCTCGGTGTCACCCGGCACTGAACAGAAGAACCATGAGTTTCCAAACTCAGAAGAATTGCTGTCAGGTGATCCGGAGTTGGACGGCTCTGTCCTGAGGGGTTTTGGTAGGGAAACAGTCCTTGAATGGGCCTTTAACATGTCCCTGTGAACATTGCGAGGTAATTGCAAATTGTCGAGGGGGGGCACTGTATAGACTGGCCCGTTGTCATTGGGAGCCTTCAGCACCTGAAAGAGTTCCTGGTGCCAAAGGTCCTGGATCTTATGCCGCCCCTTTACGCCATGATTTCTAAGATACACCAACTGTCCAACCTCCAAGGGTGCCTCCCTAACCCGGATGTCATGCCTCGCTTTGCGTTGTTCCGCTTTCAAGGCCAGCCTTGCTTCTGCCCCAGCAAAGGCCACCTGAAGTTTGGAGCAGTACTCCAACATCCAGTCCTGCACAGTTCTTGCAATGGGTTCTTTAACTCCGCCCAAGAGGAAATCAATGGGGAGTTTCGGCTCACGGCCAAACATTAAGAGGAATGGTGACTCACCAGTACTCTGATGTGGGGTAGTGTTATAAGAGTATAACAATTGAGGAAGACAAGAAGCCCAGTCCTGTTTCCGAGAGAACGGGAGGGTGCGAAGAAGGTTGTGGAGCGTGCGGTTGAACCGCTCGCATTGGCCATTACCAGCGGGGTGGTATGGGGTAGTCCTAGATTTCTCAACACCATAGAGGTTGCATAGTTGGTGGAGCAAGGCACTTTCAAAACTACGCCCCTGGTCGGAATTAATCCGGCTTGGGACTCCAAACTTATAGAACCATTCGTTGGTCAGGACTTTGGCAACAGTCTGTGCCCGTTGGTCTCTAGTTGGGATTGCCAAGGTGTACTTTGTAAATACGTCGGTCATTACCAACACATTTTCAACACCATTGCGAGTCGGTTCCAACATGGTAAAATCAATAGCCAATATTTCGTTAGGCCGTGACGCCAGTAAATGGCCCATGTAACTGTGGGGAATGGGTGCTGGATGTTTTGCAGATTGACATCTGTCGCACTCTAGTACCCACTGTTTGATGTCCGCTGACATCCCTGGCCAGTAGCATCTTTGACGGACAAGTTCAGTTGTCCTCTCAATGCCTTGGTGGCCATGCTCCTGATGGAGCTGTTGCAGTGTCTTCTCCCTTAATGTTGCAGGGAGGAGGACCTGAAATGTCTCTTCCCCTCCGTCCGGTCGTTGAACGCAGCGATACAACACGCCCTCCCTCTCAACTAAGCGGTCCCACTGTTGGAATAAGACCAATGCTGGCCTGGAAAGGTGATTTCGCTCAATCTTACTGGGTGGGCTCTTCCTCTGCCAATATACCAGGAACTCCCTCAAAAGAGGATCAGACCTCTGTAAGGCGCAGATGTCAGTCAACGAACAGTCCGGCAGTGCCGAGATCAGGGACTGCACTGCTGCAAATGGCTGAGCAGTCTGCTGAAGGGCAAGTGGAACTGAGCTCCCTGGTAACACACTAGCAGCCAAGTCTGCAGATGTCACGTACTGCCTTGACAAGGCATCCGCATTCCCATTGCTTCGCCCAGAGCGGTATTTTATCTGAAAGTCGAAGGCGGCCAGTTGTGCTGCCCACCTGTGTTCCAGGGCTCCAAGCTTTGCGGTCTGGAGATAGCTCAGCGGGTTGTTATCCGTGTAAATCACACACTTGTGTCCCAGCAGGTAATCCCTGAACTTCTCGGTCATGGCCCACTTGAGCGCAAGCAGCTCCAACTTCATGGAGCTGTAGTTAGTCATGTTGCGCTCAGTGGGCTGCAGACCTCGACTGGCATATGCCACAGGCCGTAAACCTGTGGGGGTCTCTTGTGAGAGCACTGCGCCCAGGCCGCTAAAACTGGCATCAGTTTCGAGGACAAAAGGCAGCGAAAAGTCAGCATAGGCCAACACAGGCGCAGAAATGAGCTTTGCTTTTAAGCCTTCAAAGCTCTCCTCACACTGGGGTGTCCATAGTGAACCCAAAGGCTGTCCAGATCCCTTCCTATTCTTTGTACCAGCCAGTGAGGCCACCAACCTATGTAGAGGTGCGGCCAACCGGGCAAAGCCCTCCACAAACCGGCGATAGTAACTGGAAAAACCCAAGAACGATCGCAATTCAGACAGGTGGGCGGGTCGTTTCCACTTGGCCACGGCTTCGATTTTTGATGGGTCTGTGGAAACACCCTTGCTGGAGATTATGTGACCAAGATAGCCAACTTCTCGCTTGAAGAAGGCACACTTCTCCAGTTTTGCCTTCAAGCCCTCCTTCTGAAGGCGACTCAGGACCAGCTCCAGTCGTTCCAGATGTTGTTTAACTGAAGTGGAGAAAACTACTATATCGTCCAGGTACAGCAGTAGGGACTCGCACTGCTTGTCCCCAAACATCCTCTGCATGAGACGCTGAAAGGTACCCGGAGCGTTGCACAAGCCGAACGGCATTCTGTTCCATTCAAAGAGACCAAATGGAGTACAGAATGCCGTCTTAGGCTTGTCCTGCTCTGCAACCGGAACCTGATTGTATCCACTGGCCAAATCAATGGTTGTAAACCAACGGGCCCCCGCCAGCGCATCTAAGCTCTCCTCAATGCGGGGCAGGGGAAAGGCATCCTTCCTGGTCTTACTATTAAGAAGGCGGTAGTCGACGCACAGGCGAAGACTCCCGTCCTTCTTTCGGACCAGGACGATGGGAGATGCATAAGGACTATTACTTTCCCTGATTACCTGCGCCTCGAGGAGCTGGTTTATATGCAACTTCACAGCCTCGTATTCGGACGGGGGAATACGCCGATAGCGCTGCCGGACAGGAACGTCATCAAGCAGAGGGATTTCATGGTCAACCAAGCTGGTGCACCCCAAGTCGCCCTCATGTGCCGCGAACACGTCCCTGTACTTCTGCAACAAAGCCCTGACTCCTGCCCGCTACTCCTCGTTTAGGGCGGACAGGTCCGCCTCCTCCAATCTGCTCTGGATCGACTCAGCCTCTGCCTGGGAGGACACTGTGGCTGCAACGGAACTCACCTCTGTGACTCCCGGAGGTAAACTCACTACCTCTGCCTTACTCAGGGATCCTAGGGTGGTCCGGGGATACAGGAGTGCATCACTTGTCCCCACATTGACCACCGGGATGTAAACCGTACCATGGTCAACCTGAACCAGGCAAGGCGAGGCTAGGAGGCCAGCTGGAAGGCCAGTCGGAGGGGGCTCAAACAGGGCAGATCTTCCAGCGAACTGTCCAGGGCATGTACTGATAACCAGCCTCATAGTGCCACCTGGTATACGCACAACTCGAGGCCCTCTGACATTCACCGTGCCAATAGTGGTTTCTGGCGCTGCAGCAGCATGGTGGCAGCTCTGTAGGGCCTTTATGACTGGCCTGCACAACTGCGGGCAAATCAAACAATGAAGTACCATGGGTACCAAAAAGCTCCTTGTAGCATCGGCGAATTACATTCATACCTAAAATTCCAGGGGCAGAGTGCCCGGTGCCAGGAGGATCTCGTGCGACAAGTACTCCGCAGCGGGGAATCTTCTTGTCGAAGAGGGCCACATCGAGCTCCAGGTAGCCCATGTAAGGGATCTCAAGCCCATTGGCTGCCCGCAACTGCAACCAATGGCAGGAGCGGAGGCGGTCAGAGCCCCAAGGTTCGAAATGTTCCTTGAAGAAGCTTTCTGTAATGGTAGACACCATTGAACCGGTATCCACCAAACATTTGATATGAACCCCACCCATGTCCACCATAAGGTTTGGACAAGAGGCCATTAACTCTGTAGCATTGCCGACCTGTGAGCCTGGGACCTCCCCTACTGAACTTTGGCTCCATGGTTCAGTTTCCCGAACGGGTTGGAACATTGGATGGTCCGACCAGAGAATTGGCTCGAGGACGGGACACGATTCTCTCGCCATCGCATTCGCTGGCGTAGTGGCCCAACTGATTGCACCTACGACAAGTTATACCACTGCGTTGCCGTCTATTATTCTGTTGCGGGGCCTGCAATGAAGCCACTGTCTGGGTAAGTAGACTAAGCTGCTCCTGCTGCATTTTAAGCAGCTCCATCACCTCACTCAGTCCAGGTGCTGCAGGCCACTAACCGAGGGAAGGGAGAAACTACGCTCTCTGAAATGGCCGGGGAGCCCCTCCCTTTCCCATCTGAGTGCCTCCGCTCTTACTTGAAGCAAGGTTGCAAATGGGTTATCACGAATAAAAAGCTTCAGGTCCCTACGTAGAGCACCATCAATGACATGTTCAGTAAACTGGTCTCGAAGGAGAACCTCTGAGTTGGGCACCCCATCCGGGGCACTCTGCTTTACCTGCTCCATAAGAGCCAACAAAGCTAAGGAAAACTCCCGCAAAGTTTCCCCTTCCTCCTGTCGTCTCGAGAAGAATGCCTGTTGCAGGGTGACATATGGTTGGGCACAACCATAGAGCTCCTTAAGAATTTCTACCACTCTACCTGGATTTTCACGTTCCTCTACTGGACGGAACTTACTTAACTTCATTCCTCGCCTCCCCCTCCAAGTGGTCGAGGAGAAAGAACGCTTGATCAACTGGAGAGAGGTGTCGAGCCCGCATACGGGCTTGTGATTCTTCCAACCATTCACTGAAAGATAGGCCGGACTTACCATTAAACAGAGGGCATTTTCGGTCCCGCGTCATCACAAGCACTCGGTCTGTAGTGGGGGTGTGAAAGCCCAGCGACCGAGCTTGACCAGTGGAGACGCCCGAGGCCTGGGAAGCCCCGCTCGGGCCAGCCAGATTTGACGCCCCATTGTGAAGAAGTCGCTCATTGTCCGCCTTAAGCTGAGCCAGCTGCTCCCTGAGCTGCTGCATCTCCTCCTCCATACTCGCGAGAGCGCAAAGCCAAGCAACCTTTAGGAAAGCTATATAGAAAAGAATTGACTGAGAGGATTAATTTTGGTACGTGAAATAACCGCTGTTCTGTCCAAACTACCACCCACACACGATAAAAGTACAATATATCAAAATAGCTCGAAGAACAACTCATCAAAACCACTTTCAAAAAAAAAACATTTAAACTTGATGTAATACAGTTTCACGTCTCTTATTATGTCCGATCCTGCCAGCAACGCCAAGATGTGACGTGAGGGTGTGAAAGAAGGGAGATTTAACAGTTCCAGTAACGCCAGGTGGTCTAGGGAACACCCAAATAATTGGTATAATAAGGCCGCACAAGTTGTGGACATAGGAGACGCGAGACTGTACTTACAAAACAGTTCACAAGTTTATTTTCACAATTATAAGTTAAATACATCAAATAGGCCTTTAATGGAAAAAATTGACATGCCACATATATATATATGCGCTCTATTATATATACACTTTTTTCCCTAGTGTTTAAACCCACTGCAGCACTCATCTCTCCTGAAATTTAGAAGTAAATAAATAAATAATAAATTAATGAATGAACCAGTTTCCACATGTGCGTTGCATCCTATCTCTGCTGCGGAGAACAGGGCAGTGGATGAGCAGTTTTGAGCAAGATCAATTGCGTTTATGGGGCTAAGGAAAACCCACATTGCTTTGCCAGAGGTGAATGAAGCAAAACATATACGTAATTACATATACGGCGCAGGGTCTGCCACAGGTTAGTGAGTAATTGGCAAAGGAAAAATAACTTCACGGAGCAGGAGATTGAGACCATTATGAACGAAGTGGGAAAAAGAAAAAAGTCTTACTATTTGGAATTTTCAAAAGTGGCATCAAGGGGCTCAAAAAACAATATATGGAAGTAGCTGACAGCATCTGTAAACAGCGTGGGGCCAGCAACACGCACTCCTGAAGAGGTGAGTTTATTCATGTTCGAAGAACATGTTGTTATAACGAACATGTTGTGTTTAGTGAACAGTTGTTATATTGGGCCAATAGTTAGAATTTCTTAATTTATGCTACAAGTGAAAAAAAATGGAGCGTCCTTAAAATGGTAAAAGGCGTTTAGCGCAGCCCATGGAAGAAGTGCTCAGCAGGCCAGGGGGAGGACCGCCAGACCAAAGTATCCAAAAGAAAATATAAATAAATAAAATTATCTTCAATTTATGTATGTGATTATTATTTTAAAATGGTTGAATGAGAGCCTGTCTGAGCTGTACAGGCCGAAGGCGGTGCTGGCCATAGTCTTTCATCCAGGGCTGCTCCACCACCACCAGTGCCTCCAATGGGACACCATGGTCCTGTGCCTGTTGTGGAGAACCGAGCAAGGATCACACTTGTAGCAGGAGGTACCAGAGCTTAGCCCCTGCATCTCCCAGAGCCATCTTCCTCTGATCAGACCCGCGCAGCGCTCCACTGTGGCGTGCGTCTTTGCTTGGACCCGCATGAACCAAATGCTGTTGCACTGATTGTAGCTGCACATAACAATCCACACATTTGTGGGAGACTTTAGAGTTTGACATCTTGCACGTTATTTACTAACACAAACTAGCCCTAACATAACATCGTAAAATTGCATATTTGTAATGTGAGGGGTGTGCCTATAATCTTGCCAGAGTGGGAATATGTTTATTTTTGTCCAAATCTTGCATTTCATGCGTGTTTTGGGGTTTTGTAATGAAGGTTGAAATGAGCGTACACATTTACACCACCTATTGACTTGGTGTAATTTCTGTGCGTATCGTACGCTCACGTCCATGATAAATGCGGAAAAGTGTAAATATTTATGCCTCATTTACACCCGGATTTGGCCGTTCGCAAGTTTCATAAATGAGGCCCATTGAGAGCAATTGGAAAAAGGGGAGAGAGAAAACAGAAAAGAACTCCAACATATCCAGGCTTTTTTGAGAGCGAGTCAATTAAAATTACGCAATTTTTTTTTTTTAGATTTACGATCAGGAAACAATTATTTCAATTTAATACATGAAAAGAAATTACACACATTTGTTAATAATCATTGTTATTATCAAACACTTATAACCACGGACTACAGCATGTATCAATACATGTATTATAATGTATGTAGTAAGTATATTTTTAATGGAAAACGGACCCGACACGCGTCGACGAATGTAAAAACTAGGATTGTTTCTATTTCGTCCATCTGCGTCCGTTGCACCCTCCGTGGACGGACAGCTCCCGACGCGCGTCATACGGACACATGTTGCCGGCAGTGGAGCCACTTCCATTCACCCTCATGGAGATAACGAAAACAGAGATTGGACGGCTACGTAGTACGTTTTACGCAGCCAGTGGAGTCGGGGCCTTCAGGTTAGAATTAAGATTAAGTTTAAGAGTTTAGTGTGTTGCATCACAAATTAGAGACAGTAGGAGTGGTAAGAATGAATGAACATGAGCATAATAAAGAAGCAGGTACTGTAGATTCTAAGTTTACATCTGTACATATTTGTTGCATGAAGGTCATAGTTGTTGTATATTTTAAATATACACTATGCAGATGTGACAATATTTGACCATTTGAACATCATAGCCAAAAAAGACCTGTGCCCTCAGGTCTTAAGTCACAAGGACACAAGATAGTACAGGAATCATAAGGATGACCAGCTTACAAAACCAGACAATTATTGACTCCAAGAGTAAACACATAACAAATAACATCAACAGCTTTTTACCATCTGAAGAACATTGCCAAAGTTAGAAATATAGTGTCCAGGGCAGACTTGGAGATTCTTGTCCATGCATTTGTCTCCAGCAGGCTAGACTACTGCAATGGCCTGCTTACAGGTCTGTCCAAACAGACCTGTAAGCAGCTGCAGTACATCCAAAATGCAGCAGCTAGAGTCCTGACAGGAACCAGGAAGTATGACCATATTAGTCCGGTCCTCAGGTCTCTGCACTGGCTTCCTGTGGCTCAAAGAATAGATTTTAAAACGGCTCTGCTTGTGTACAAGTCTCTCCATGGCCTTGCACCAGAATACATTAGTGACATGTTGGTGTCATATGAACCGGCCCGGACTCTGAGGAGCACAGGGACTGGCCTCCTGCTGGTGCCCAGAGTGAGAACCAAACATGGGGAGGCTGCGTTTCAGATCCATGCAGCTAAGATCTGGAACAATCTCCCTGAAAATGTGAGGGAGGCGTCTACTCTGTCAATGTTCAAATCCAGGTTAAAGACTGTTCTGTTTGCCTGTGCATATAACTGAAGGATTTTATCTCCATTTTTAATGCACTGCTGTCATTTATTTATTTTTTTAAATTTCTTGTGTAATTTTGAAAGTTTTAATGGTTTTATTCTTTTGTGTGATTTTAATGTTTTAATTGTGTTTTAATCTTTTGTGTGATTTTAATCTTTTAATTGTGATTCTGGTGTTTGTTTTATGTGATGATTTGTGATGTGGACTGTGAAGCGCTTTGTGTTGCCCTGTGTATGAAAGGCGCTCTACAAATAAACTTTGATTGATTGATTGATTGACATGCTCTCTCCCACTCTCGACGAGAGCAAAGTCCCACACAGCCTTGTTTGCTAAGACTGATATGGAAGACCAAAACCAAGACCAAAATCCAGACCAGAGACCAGACCAGAGACCAGTCTCAAACCATGTGACGTCATCGGACATGTTGATAAAACTGGGGGTAGGACATTTTGAGCAGTCTGAGCAGGGATAGTTAGACAGGGAACATCGCAGAGCGCCTGGATGTCCCCTGCACATTTTTCAGGCCTGGAGGGACAGTTTAGAATGGCTCAGCATAGGGTTAGTTTTAGAGAATTAATGGCTCCAAGAGTTTTGTATCGATATTTAATTGTAAAGAGAATTAAATGTTCTATTTTTAACTCCTGCATTCTTGGACTTATTTCTGTATCAAATTCTGAACACGTCAGTCAAATCTTTTTTGACAACAAATGGTGACCCCTGACGTGATTTGATACAGAAAGAAGACGCAAGATGAGCTCAGATAGAGAAACCGGGTCTGTGGGTCTGGAGACTCTCTGCTCTGCAAAACAGTCGCTTCTAAAAGGTAAGCAGATACCATTTCTAAAATCTGCACATTGTTTTTTAATAGAAGAGAGAGAGGTCTCAGCCCAGCATGACTGCAGGTGTGGACAAGACCGCCGTGACGGGCGTTCTATCGGACGCGATAGAACAATAGTCAGGTTTAGACGTTTTTAGCCTTGGGGGAAGAATGGGCCCCCCCTAAAACAAACAGAACGGAGATGAGAGAATGAGAGAAAGAGTTTTTAGAAGTGCAGAAGAGGCACACCTTCTTAAAGTGCAGAGAGGCACAAGAGTATAGTGAAAATAGGAATAGAATTAGAAAATAGGGACAGTTTTAGGGTCAGAACAGGATAATAAAACGTTCTATATCCCCCGGGGGGCGGGAAAAATGGTACATTTAATTTAAACAAAAAGCCAAGTATTTAAAATGTGGATTCTGATAATAATGATCTGATTAATGAGAAAAAAAAGAGAGCCACTTGGCTGTCGAGTTTTCAAGAAATGACCAGAATGATCAGTGCTGGGAGTTTTTCTCTTGTATTGTGATGTAATGTTTTAATAGTTACAGAGGTATTACGAAAAAAAAAAAAAAAAATCCTGCTGTGACTGGGAAATGCATTAGTCATGTAAGCAAATTGTAATGCAAAATTACTGACGTATTTAAGGAAACAATGTAAAGTGTCGTTTGACGTGAGAAAAACTTTTACCACTGATTAAGACCTTGTCACGATAAAAAAAAACGAGGAAAAATGTAGCTAACAGGAGGATGTATTTCAGACGTCCATGTTTTCCTTTGTTCGGGAGGCCCCTCCCCTCCCTCTTTCTGTCTGCTCTCTCTCTCTCTTTCTCTCTCTCTCGAGGAAAGAACTATTACCAAATATATTTTTTGTAGAGAATTACATTTATACACACGATAATGTTACTGACATGGAGTCATAT